AGAACAAAACTATAGTGAATATGGGTCCGCCTAGTAGGTGGGCAACCAGTTCTGCCCCTTGAACGACGAGAGAGAGAGAGAGAGGGGGGGAGGGAGGGGGCTTCCAATTATTCCGTCTCTATAGTGAGCCGTTTCAGTGATGGGGAATTTCTGTCTCTAATCTCATGTGCATTTAGGCAACCTACCGTCCAACCCCCCTCCCCCCCTCTTCCGCCTTTGATGCTTTACTGCACACATTTTGATCGGTGGTACCTCACATCCTCAAGAGGAGTGGTAGTATTCCCATTCACTGTACTCGCATGCATAGTGCTTGCTTGCTCGGCTGTACCATACCACCATACCCGCAACCTAAAAGTCCTGCAAGATTTCCGATGGAAAGAGAATGCCAGTTTATACGAGCAGCTCGCTGCCTCCAATTCTTTCATTCAGGGCGATGCTAGACGGATGGACCGCCAGCCCCGGGCTCCAGCAGGACCCTCGCGTGTGAGCTAATCTTCGCAAGCTGGGGACCTCCTCACGATGAGCGGCAGGAGTATGGTGATGGTGTCTCATTAAAGCGGCCCATTAAACTTCCACCTGGGGCGCGTGACAGGGGGAAGGGAGCTGGGCCGGGGTGAGGTGGGGTGGGGGGAGGGAAGACGTATAACGAACGCGCCCCCTCCCTCCCCCACCCCACTCATGACCCCATCCATTCACCTCAGCCTCAGCAACACCACTCTCTTGGTAGACACCTCCGCGCCACCCGAGTCCTTTGTGCGGGGCGCGCGAGCCTGGAGGAGCAGGGACGGCGCTGGAGCCACACCTGGGCGAGGCAGGAGGCAGGGGATCTGGGTGTGAAAGAGTGTATTCACGGTTAAATTTTGTTTGGTTCGAGTTGCGGTTGTGTACGCGGACGGCCCCGCGATGCCCCGCGATGACCCAGCAGTGCTGGGCGGGGCGCGGCGGGGCGGGCGGGACCGGAGCGGCCAGCCTGTGACCCGTCCTGGCGAGGCGCGGCGCGGCGCGGCGGGAGCAGGGAGGCCGTTTGCTAACGGTATCGAATCGGGTACCACGGCTCGGCTCGGCCCCCGGCGCGGGTACTTCCAGGACTTCCAGCCGGTAGGCAGCAGCAGCGGTACACGCGGAGTGGGCTGCGCCAAGCCGGCTTGGCGCCTTGACAGAGGACGAGGGGGTCGGGGAGGGCGGGGATGGCGGGGTCGCCGCGCAGGACCCACTGGGACCCCGGCCAGGCCTTAGGCCAGGCCCTGCTCGTCCAGCGCTGCCGGGCCCGGCCCGGCCGGGCCACCTGGCTGACCGGGCGAAGCGGCCGTGGGGCATCCGGGGCCAGCAGCAGCATAGGGGCCCCCACATTGGCACTGACCGCCACAAGCTGCGTGCGTCCCGCCGCGTCCAGCAGCGTCCAGCAGGAGCCCCACGACCAGGAGCACCTTGGCGTCAGCCCTACCGAAGCCCAGGGGGACGCCAGGCCCACGACGCCGACGCGGGCTTGTTCCCGCGCACTCAGGTAGGTCTTCCACTGCCTTCATGAGCGTCACCACCGCCGCCGTTGAGTGCGACTCGGGACGCGAACTGCTCTCTGTCTTTTACTACCGCCCTGGCGCTGGGATTTAAACGCGCAATGTGTGTGTGTCCGCAAACAAAGTGCACGCTTCACCCGTGAGCGTCGCCGGCCGCCAGCCCCGGCGCTTTATGCACGGTCCCATCCGTGCCCCTTCGACCATTCACGACGCTTCAAGTGATGCGTAAAACAAGGTCGTTACTCGGAGGCTCTTTATGCCCATAATCCGATGTGTGGTGGTGCGTGCCACGGAGAGAGGCGGCTGGGAAGGAAGAAGGGGGAAGGCCCGCAGGCCAAGTCAGGCCGGCGCGCAGCCTGCAGATTCCTGTAATTTCGCGACTGCATCCCTGCAGACTGGTGCTGTTCGAGAGGGCCCCACGCCCGAACGATCGCGACGATGGCCGCTCACAGCCGCCCCTCGAGCCCGCGGTGGTGGCGACTCGGGGCGATCCTGGCGGTGTGCGCGGCCGTGCTCGCGGACGCGGGCAAGCCACCGCACAGTAAGGACAAGGGGGCCACCAAGCTCGCGGCGGCTCAGAGCTTCCGTCTCCCCGGAGACGTCATCCCGTCCAACTACACCCTGCGGATAGTCACACACTTCCAGGACGACAATTTCCGCTTCTACGGACAGGTAAGGAGGACTCTTGGCGCTTGGCATTGTAAACTGTTCTAAGGGGGTCCGCCAGTGCCGTTCTTTCTTCTGGTTAAACTGTACCGGATGCAGGCGTGCGGGCGGTCTTGCCCTGTCGTCTCTCACCGAGGCGTCTTACGGACCCGTGCTAGTATGCAACCCGTCCGCACGCCTGCATCCGGCACAGTATAACCAGAAGAAAAGCTGCAGGACCAGCCTGTTGTGTTGTGGCCTGTAGGTTAACAGTGTGACGTGCTGTTGCTACTGTGGCTTTACAATAGAACTCTTATGAAGAATCAAACTATTGACGTCTGCAGGCCTTTATCGACATCGACGTGGTCCGAGACACGAGCGTGGTGCGGATGCACGCCAAGCAGCTGCAGGTGGACCAGCGGGCGGTGACGGTTACGCTCCTGGACGCGGACGAGGACAGCAACAGCATACCCGAGCAGCAGGAGGAGGAGGAAGAGGGTCCACAAGAACAATCAGGCGCGCAAGCAGAGGATCAGGATCAGAAAATTAAACCAACAGAACTACCTGAACAAAGGCCAGAAGAAGAGAAACCAGCAGAAGAGAAACAGGAAGAAAAGAAGCCCGAACAGCAAAAGTTAGAAGAACAAAAACCGGAAGAACAAAAAACAGAAAAACCAGAAGAACAGAAAACAGAAGAACAAATAAAACCCGAAGAGCAAAAATTAGAAGAACAAAAAACAGAAGAGCAAAAACCAGACAAAATAGAAGAACAGAAACTGGAAGAACAGAAACTGGAAGAACAGAAACAAGAAGAGCAAAAACCACTAGAAGAGAAACCGGTCGAACAAAAACTAGAAGCACTGAAACCAGAGGAACAAAAACCCGCACCACCACAGAAACCGGAAGAAGAGAAGCGAGAAGAACTGAAACCAGTAGAAGACAAACCAGATGAACCGAAAATAGAAAAACAAAAGCAAGAAGAGCAGAAACTAGAAGAGCCAAAACAAGATGAGCTAAAACCAGAAGAACAGAAACTAGAAGAACACAAATCAGATAAGCAGAAGGTAGAAGGACAGATAGAGGCAGAACAGAAACCAGAGGAACAAAAGCCAGAAGTGACGAAACCAGAAGAACAGAAACCAGATGTACAGAAACCTCTAGAACAGATTCCAGAAGGACAGAAACTAGAGGAAACCAAGCAGGAAACAAAACCGGAAATGCAACTAGAGGAACAGAAACAGGACGTCAACCCGGGAGTGCAATCAGACGGAGAAAAGGTCGACCTTAAACCCGGGGAGCAGGATCCTACTTTACCGCAAGAGGCAACGAAAGATAAAATTACTGGAGCGGAAGAGCCGAAACTGGGGGGACCAATTGTGAACAAGGAGAAGGACGAAGAACTAGTTCAAACACAGCCGATAACGACGGAAAGCACACAGGACCAGGTGAGACGCCGGCGCCGGCGTCAGGGCCATTACCAGCACCGACCTCGCGACGCCGAATTTCAAGGTAGAGTAATTCAGTATCCAAAAACCATTTTCCACGACACTATTTTAACTCGGTGTATTCAATTTTGAACAATTTCTCTTCCCCTTGTAGGACTGCGCCTGTCAAACGTGTCGATGGACTCTAAGCTACAGCAGCTCGTCATCACGCTGTCCGAGCCCCTCCGCGCCGGCCGCCGCTACCGCATCGCCGTCCGCTACTGGGGCACGCTCAACACCGAAGACCGGGGCTACTTCCGGGGCGCCTACCTGGTCGAGGGCCGCGCGCGCTACGTGTCCTCCACCGTGTTCGAGCCGGCCGAGGCCCGCCGCGCCTTCCCCTGCTTCGACGAGCCGCACATGAAGGCCAACTTCTCCCTGGTCCTGGGCCGCCACAAGAACTACACCAGCAGCGCCAACATGCCGCTGGACCGAACCGAGAGCATGTGAGTGATATGGCGGCCGCTGCAGAACAAAGTCTTACAACTAAAAGAAACAATGGAAATTTGTTTAACAAGTTGAACTTGACACTTAGGGAGGAGAAGCCGGACTGGTACTGGGACTACTACCCTACAACTCCAAAAATGTCGACTTATCTAGTGGCGTTCATGGTACACGCTCTCGAGGGAACTTCTCTCAATCCCGGTAAGAAGAATCGCATCCAGTTTACTTTTGCCAACAGAAACACGTTTTATTCATTTCACTTCTGGAACGCGTTCAACCCCGCAGGTGCCCCCGGGATTCAGTTCCGCGCTTGGACCGTTCCCGGCCGCTCACACCAGGCCAACTTCTCGCTGTCCGTGGCCCCCAAGATCATGTCCACACTCGGCGCGCAGCTGGGAGCGCCCGGGGTGCTGCCCAAGCACGACATGGTGGCCGTGCCCGGCTTCAAGTCGGAGGCCCTCGAGAACTGGGGTCTCGTCTCTTTCGAGTAAGTTAGGGATGACGGTCGGAAAGCACTCAGAAAGGTAGACACGGAACAGGTTAACCGGGCAATGTCCGACAGGGAGCATCATCTGCTGCTGCCCGCCAACGCCGGCCAGCTCAACAAGCAGTCCGTGAGCACGGTGGTGGCCCACGAGCTGGCCCACATCTGGTTCGGCAACTTGATCACCCCGGCCTGGTGGTCGGATATTTGGCTGAGCGAGGGCTTCGCGACGTTCTACTCCGCGGAGGCGCTGCAGGCGGTATTCCCCGCCTGGAGGTTCCACGAGACGGCGGCGGGAAACGCGTACCTTCTCGTCACCCACACTGACGCGATGCCCAGCACCACGCCGGTCATCCACGCCGCCGACAACCCCAACAAGCTGGAGTCCGTGTTCGGCGCCATTTCCTACTACAAGGGTGAGTGTGTTTCGAGAATAGCGAAATTGATAGTTGAGATAGACCAATAGTTGACCAGCACTGCGCTCTCCAGGCTATTGGCTGCTCCGTATGCTGGAGAGCTCCCTCGGCGCCGACGTGTTCGACAACGGGGTGCGGCGGTACGTGCGGAGACACCTGCACTCCAGCGTGCGCACTAAGGACCTGTGGGTCGCCCTGCAGGAGGCCGTCGACGAACGCCAGGACCTCGACCTGGAAGCAGCAGCTTCCGCTTCGGCCTCGACCGGGGAGGCCGTCGTGGTCGGAGACGACAGTGACGAGGAGGACGTCGCCCGCGTCGTGGTCCCGGACACCAAACCCACCTCTGCGACAAACGCCACGCGAGCGGTGGTCGTGCCCGCAAGATCCAAGAGAGACGCCAGTCTGGTGATGAAGGTACGTCGTCGCGATAAAACATGTGTTCCTACTTTGTCGTGATCACCGTCACATTCCCGGTTTGCTCAGGCCCCGATCACCCAGCTCGTGATAGGCGCCATCGACCAGGCCGACAAGGGCAGCGGTGAGGCCTCCGAACTTACAGATGCATCCGCCAGCACCGAGGCGCTGGAGCAGGTAAAACTCGCGAGTCCGACGAAGAACCGAGTCACCCCCGCCAACGTGAAGAAGTCACCCGAGCTTAGTGAGGAAGTTCTGTCACCACCGCGCCGCGGCCCCGGAGCCACGGGCTTCCATGGGAAAGTCGGATGGCTGCCGCACCCTGTCGACCAGATCATGAAGAACTGGGTGACGCAGCCCGGACACCCCATCGTGAGCGTGTACAGGAACCTCGAGACCGGCGTCGTCACCTTGAACCAGGTGAGCAGGAGAGCAGAGAGCTGGCGATACCGAGGACGACTCATTTGGGTACGCCCATGAGGCACACACTGACACGTGGCCGTTCACCTGCTCCCTAGCGGCGCTACCTGAGCCCGGCGCCCGCGGGCGGCTTCCCCTGCAACGCGTCCACGGCCTGGTGGATCCCCGTGCGCTGGGCGACCATACCGCGGGGCAGCGGCGCGACCGGCACCGCGGACGTCAGCAAGCTCGTGTTCTGGATGCCGCCCACGTGCTCCAACGTGACCCTGCCCGTGAAGGTGCCGCGCGAGGAGCTGCTCATCCTGAACGCGGGCCTCAGCGGCCTGTACCGCGTGCGCTACGAGTCGAGCGCGCTGCAGCAGCTGGCGCGGCTGTCGCGGGCGGGCTGGCGGCAGGTGGCGCCGCTCACGCGCCTGCAGCTGGTCGCGGACGCCCTGGACCTGGCGCGCGCCGGCCGCGCCCCCTACCAGCACGTCCTGCGCATGGTCGACCACCTCGGCAGGGACAACAACCCCATGGTGTGGCGCGCCGCCCTGCCGCACCTTATGATGCTGCACCGGCAGCTGCGCGCGCGCCGAGACGGCGTGGTTCTTAGGGTGAGTAGTGTCCGCGCCGGCCGTAGGGTTGTAAGCCTTTCAGAGTTTCCGGAATATTTCCGAAAAACTTCGATTTTTTCGGGAATTTTCCGGGAATATTTCTGGGTTTTCAACCGGTGACCGAGCGCGCCCGGCGGCCTGGAGTCAACCTGTAGTAACCCTGTCTCTTCTAGTCCTGGCTCCAGGACCTGGTATCGCCCCACGCCAACGGCGTCGGCTTCACGACGCGCCCCCAGGACACGCCCCTGCAGGCCAGCCTGCGCTACAAGGTCACCACCCTGGCGTGCCTGGCAGACCACTCCACCTGCCAGCGAAAGGCCAAGAAGAGCCTGAAGCAGTTCATGGCCGGCGACACGGACGCCATGTGAGTCTCCCCCTCCTCGACGCCGTCCGACACGGTCCACACCCCTCTCTAACGCCCCTCCCTGTGCCCGCAGCCCCGTGGGCAGGCTCACCAGCACGCAGCTGTGCGCCGCCGTGCGCTGGGGCAGCCCCGCCGAGTGGAGGTTCCTGCGCGCCCAGCTGTCGGCGCCGGCCTCCGTGCTGCCCAGGAAGGCCGTGGCCAGCGCCCTCGGCTGCTCCAGGGACCAGGAGACGCTCAGGAGGTAAGGGGCCGCCTGTGATCCGGTGGATAGGCAACCCATTCGACATCTCCCAGCACTCCCAGGGACCCCATGCGTATAACGCGACTAACTTTTCAGCCTGTTGGCGGACACCGTGGACGCCAACTCCACGCTTCGGCGTTCTGACGTATCTGCCGTCCTGAGCGCCGTGGCGGCCAACGAGGTGGGGTCTGACATTGTGCTGCGCTTCTTCGAGGAGAAGGCACCGCAGGTGTACAAGAGGTATAGCAACCGTGAACCGTCGTGAAGTTTGTGTATACCTCCACTCGATTATCGTTTGGTAGAAAATTAATGCGTGCCTTGTTATCCAGACTGGGAGGCCATCCTCGAGTTGAGAAGTCGTTCCGTGAAATCGCCGAGTCGCTGAACACGAAACGGCAACTCGACAGAGTAAGTGATTCTTCTGTGCGAAGTAGGCTGTTTACTTTACATACCCACATATTTGTAGGTTCACTCGCACCACGCGCAGGAAGCGTGGTTTCTTATCGTTCTTGCCTTACAGCCCCGAATCAGTAGGCATCACGCATGTACCGAGTGATTCGGAGCACGCGCCGCGGTGTTGCGGGATTGCATACCCTACGGGCTATGGCGCCTTGCGGGCGTACAGAGTAGGCAAACACGCCGACAGCGGCGCGTGCTCTGAATCACCCGGTACGCGGGACGGCGTTGTTGCCTCCCCTCATTCATTTCGGCGCCACAGCCCCCTCCCAGTAGGCAACACGCGCGCACGCCCGCATGCCGTGCAGCCTATCTACCGCTTCAGCTACTGACCGCACCGCTACTTCCTCCTGGAGTTGACACTATTGCTTGGCCCGCAGCTGGACGCGGTCCTTCGCCAGTTCCAGTCCCAGACGCCTACGAGGTCGCCGCCCTCGTGGGGGAGGGACATGGTTCGCGAGAACATCCGGTGGGCGGAGCGCAGCCGCGGGGAGATCAGCCGGTGGCTGCGCGCCAGGGCGGACAGCGACGACGAACTGGAGCTCAGGAGGACGCAGTCCAAGACCAAGACGAAGACGAAGGCCACACCGGCGAGCACCACGCCGAACGCCAACAGCAAAGCGCCCCGACGGCTCGAGGAGGACGAGGACGTGGACACCGAGAACACCAGCAGCCATGGAATATTCAACCATTTATTGAACACGATATTTCTTAATTCACAAATTTGAACCAACAATTGGCGCATAAAGTACAATCAACAACAGCTATCAACAAGCAGCTTTCAACATTAGGAACATGCTCCTTTGATGCAAGCCAAGTTTATACCCACAGCCTCCCAATGTGCACATCGGTTACAAAACCTCCACTTCCAAACCCAAATGAAACCCAGCCTGTCCTCCCGACTTGTGAATAAAAGACTGAGAAAGGAATCCTATGAGAAACAACGGATTCGTGATAAAATTGTACAAAAAAACACCAAGACTTAAATAACCAACATAATCACAAAAATATAAAATATATATCACTTGTAGTTGGAATTAAAGTTGGTACAAATAAATGCTTTTACAGATATGTAAATTTAAAACACCTGGATTAGGCCAACAAAAACTTGACAAACTCAACTAGTCACCAGTACAAAATGGAAAGCGGTTCCCGGAAAAAATAACCGTTAACAGAACGAGCTCAGCGATTTGAATTTGGCGAAACGAAACTTAATAACTGGGTTTCGATCATGCAAACTTCGCCAGTTGTTAAGGTTTAGATCTCTTCAACGAAAATGCAAAGGGTGGGAGAGTGCTAACGAGGACTACTAGGACAATCTATCGATGTCAGTCTGAGACATAATATCCACTTTCCAAAAATAGTTCTATAGGTATCCTTTTTAACTTTGAGCGAAATTAACAATTCCTTTTTACTCAATACTAGAAAAAAAATGATTCAAGAGAGTTTTAAAGAGTGGCACCTACCCTAGTAGCGCCAATGCGCCTTCATCGCACATTAAACGCGCATTACTGAGAGCATTGAATGCGCATATCTAATGCGCATTAAAATGCGCCTCGAATGTAACACATTATCAACGCATATAATGCGCTGTCATAATGCGCATTGAGATAACGCATTTTATGCGCATTTCAAACGCAGATCGAATGTGGAACGTCCACGAGCATTTTAATGCGCACATAATGCACTCTATATGCGCATTTGTGACATAAGAGGCTTTAGGTCAAGTTCGAATTTCTTTCACGATGCCTCTTACAGGTCAGGTTTGTTGAACACGCCAGCCCGTCATTGAAAAATAGGAAAATCCTGTTTTGTCCCACACCTTGTGATGAAGGGTACAAACAGAGTCCAGTAGAGATACCTCTGCGGTAGGTAACTGATCGGTCGTGGCGGATCATCAGCGAGAGCCAATGTTTTGGCGGGAACGCTTTCCGGTCAAAGTTTTCAATAGCAGTTTTTTAATACGCGTTGAAGGCGAGTGCTATGCACTTTTCGAATGCACATTATAGGCACATGTGCACATTGAAGGTGTAATACCATGCGCGTTCATCGTGCGACTTAATTGCGAGTGCTATGCACATTTTAGAATGCGCATTGCGGATGCATGTTCAATGCGCGTTACATAAAGTGAATGTATTGCGCATTAAATGCACATTAAGAATATGCATTTGAGATGCATTATTCATGCGCATACATAATGCGCATTTATTGCGGGTGAAATGCGCCTTCGTGAATGCGCATTAAGGGTGCATGTTCGATGCGCGTTCGTAATACGCATTTATTTCGGGTGAAATGCACCTTCGTGAATGCGCATTGAGGGTGCATTATTAATGCGCATGCATAATGCGCATTTATTGCGGGTGAAATGCGCCTTCGTGAGTGCGCATTGAGGGTGCATTATTAACGCGCGTTCGTAATGCGCATTTATTGCGGGTG